AATGAAAACTTGTCATTGAATCTGTAAAAATGTTTGTATGCTTCCTAAGAAAATCCAATATTTTCTAACATATATGTTTGTTACTATGTTATGTAGTAGTGTATAATGTATTAGTTTGTATGCCTGGTTACCACCAGCTGTATTGTATATCATTGTTTTGAATGTAAACCCTTTGTATGAAAACCCTGGCTATCACCAGTAATGTATAGAATGTTCTGTTTGAAAACCCTGGTTACCGCCACTATGTATAGTAGTTTCATTACTTAAAATAAAAATATGTATTATATCCCCTGGAATCCACCAATGTAACGTATAGTATTTTTATTAATTAAAATAAAACTATTGAAGAATGAAATCCTATTAACAAAGGTTAGTTTATACTATTATGAGTCGTCTAACCATGCTTGATCTGACTAATGACCTCTGCGACGTTCTTCAAGCATCGGATGGTATGATATTTGTCACCCTAGGCATGCCTGCCTAACTGTAGCTAGCAGTTTAGGTGTGGGATTGTCAGTCCCGAATAGATCTATTCACAAATCTCATGCTCTCCCTCCAGGAGGCTCTAGTTACACTAAATGATAGGATTTATTCTGTTCCCAGGAGGATACAATTGAAGAGATGTCTCACAATCCAGTATTAACTAGTTTTACATGAAGTTTTTATTGTGTTCTTGTATTTGAATCCTTTTGTATACCTTGTAGAGTAATAATAATTATACTGAAATAATTATTTAGTGTTGCACTCTTGAAATCTGAAAGTAGTAATGTATACCATAAACTAAGTCTGTCATAGTTTATATGTTTGTTGCACTCTTGAAATCTGAAAGTAGTAATGTATACCATAAACTAAGTCTGTCATAGTTTATATGTTTGTTAATGTATAAGATCTGAATTTGTAAAGTTGTGTATTGAAATCCCAAACTATACCTATTATAGTTTGCATGTGTGTTGATTACTCGATTCATGTATTGATCTAAAAACTATTCAATTATGGTTGCAAGTTGAAAACGTTCGTTATGCTCAACATGTTACAAAAGGGATAAAATATCTAAATATTTTATAAAATATGTAAATCTTTTGGTTGTATCAATTGAATAAGTTTTAAACATGTCAAAATTCTTTTGTATAAGTTCACAAAATCTTTTGTGTTTGGCTTGTATTCCCCCTGAAAATGTTAAAAATAGTAAAAGCATAGGAGTATGAACTTACTGATGGCTGTGTGAAAGTGTCGAATCACGAGACTGGAAACGAAGTATCTCGAGTTGTTGAACGCGTATTTAATGGAATTCTAATAATAATTAAACACATATATGCATTTTATTTGTGAAACCATTACTTATAGTGTTGGAAAAGACTTGCTTTTGGTTAATGAATGTTACCGAGACTGATCAAGTGAATGGAGGGTTTTTGGTTTCCATAGTGTTCGCTGCTAGAAAGTGTTCACGGTCGTACACGATTCACGGCCGTGAATGGTTCTTGGTGTTCTTGGTGAGGATTTGAAGGGTTCACGGTCCTCGAATGGTTTGCGGCCGTGAACAGATTTTGGCCCTTGATCATTTAAAGATTTGAAGGGTTCACAGTCGACACCCTTCAACAAAGGTTTACTGATTCGATGAAAAACTCATTTTAGAGGCTCCACAACAACACCCAAAGGTGATTTTTGATGATTTTTGAAAGAAAATGAGGAAATCTTGAGTTTGCGTTTGGGAGTTTAGAGAGAAGATATATGAGTTTTCGGCCAGAAAAATGTAAATGAAGGTTAAGAACACACACACACAAATATATATATATATATATATATATATATATATATATATATATATATATATATATATATATGCTGGGTTCATGGTTGGTGGTGGGGTCCACCAAGCCGTGAACGGTTCACGGACGTGAACGCCAATTAGACATGATTTCGCTGATTTTCGAAGAAACTCGGGTTTTCGCGTGATTTTGGTTCCGACTCTTATATAATATTTAATTATATTAATTAATGATTTTTCAAACTATAAGAATTTAATGGAACAAAATAAAATTAAAAACTAATTAACGGAATCAGGCTAACATTAATGGAAAAGGTTCGGGTTGTCATAGACATTCCGATGGGGGCCTGTGTAGTAGGCAGCTTTTGAGACTCACAGACAGTTGTTTGGCGAGGCACCGATTCTAACATTGCTAGAGGGTGTTGATGATTTCGTGTTTACTGTAACGCTTCGATCATGAATATAGGTGCAGTTCTGATGTAGCGAGGTCGTGTGATAGTGTACGCTTCAAGGAAGTTGAAGTCTCATGAGGCGAATTACCCGACACACGATTTGGAGCTGGGCGCTATGGTTTTCTCCCTCAAGATTTGGCGACACTACCTCTATGGGGTTCGTTGTACCATTTACACAGGCCATAAGATCTTGAGGTACCCAATGCATCAACCGAATCTGAACATGACGCAACATCATTGGTTGGATGTGGTGAAGGATTATGACTGTAAATTCCTTTATCACCTTGGGAAGGCCAATGTGGTGGCCAATACTCTTAGCCGCAAGGCGGCCTTGGCTCCGATTTGGTACATATACCTGAGGATGATAGTGATTACTCCGTTGTTGGATAAAATTTGGGAGGCTTAGGTAGAGGTTATGAAGGAAGAGTGTCGTAAGTGTGAGAGAATCATAGGTCAGGTGACTTCATTTGATTATGAAAGTCATGGGTTGTTGACCATGCATCGGAAGGTCTGGGTTATTTACTAGGACGGTGTGCACCAGATTCTAATGAAGGAGGCTCACAAATCAAGATTCTCCATTCATCATGGGGCAAAGAAGATGTATCGGGATCCTTGCCCTGATTATTGGTGACCCTACATGAAACGAGATATAGCATGGTATGTGGAGTGGTGCTTGAATTGCAGGAAAGTTAAGGCAGAGCACCAGCGATTTCACGACAAGATGCATTCATTGGAGATTCCCGTTTGGAAATGGGAAGACATCACCATGGATTTCATCACAAAGCATCCCAAGACTGCACGTGGAATGGATTCAATTTGGGTCATTGTGGATCCGTTGAACAAGAGTGCACATTTCCTCCCGATCCATGAGAGTATATCGACTGAGAAGCTAGCTGAGATCTACGTACGCGAGGTGGTGGCACATCATAGAGTGCTAATTTCGGTTGTGTAAGACCAAGATGTTCGCTTCACTTCCAGATTTTGGAAGCGGTTTCATGATGAGATGGGTACTCGTCTTCATTTCATTACAACTTTTCACCCTCAGACGTATGGGCAGAGCGAGAGGATGATTCTGACTCTAGAGGACATATTGTGTGCGTGTGTATTAGATTTTGGAGGGAGTTGGGATACGTATCTTTTGTTAGTAGAATTTTCGTATAACAACAGTTATCACGCTAACATAGACCGACCTCCCTTCGAGATGCTTTGTGGGAGGAAATGAAGGACCCCAATATGTTAGGGTGAGGTCGGTCAGAGAGTCATGAGAATACTGAGGTGTTACTCAAGACCATTGAGAAGATCCAACAGGTTCCTAGCAGGCTCCAGACTACTCAAATTGTCATAAAAAGCTATATATATAATATATATATATATATATATATATATATATATATATATATATATATATATATATATATATATATATATATATATATACTAGTCGTTTGCCCGCGCAAAGCGGCGGACGACAAATAGTTTGTTTCGACAATTAATTTCTTTTCGATGGAAAATGATTATTTTCAATTCAATCATTAGTTTGTTTTAGGAAACATGTCATATTAAAAATAAAGAAAATTCATGAAATGACCAAATTATAGGGTGTTGAGTATTTATTTGGATGAAAAAAGATATGGTCAAAACCTTGGAAGAGAAGATTTATAGGAGTTTGTTTAAATTTTAATATTATTTTATTAGTGATTAGTTGTACAATTAGCTTAATGATTTGGACGTCTTAAAAAAATATTATTATTTTATTCAATCTATTTTTAGAAATAGTGAGATTTGTTTTATAAGATAGTATATATATATATATATATATATATATATATATATATATATATATATATATATATATATATATATATATATAAAATCTTTGCTTAGTATAGTGGGTTTCAATATTCAATATTTTTGAAGGAAACGACAAGTGAAGAATCCAATGCAAAGAGTGAAGAATGGCTTTATATTCGACTTCGTTTCCCTATAAATTTATTGGTTTATCTAGGGGTGAGCAAAAACCGCACCGCAACTAAAATTAACCGCAAAACCCGCATAAATTGCAACCGATAAACCGCAACTGCAATATAAACCGATGGTGATGTTTTCTGTTTTTCAAAAACCGCAAATTTGCGGTGCGGTGCGATTATTAGTTTTCAAAAACCGCAAAAAAAACCGCACCGCACCGCATACATTATATACAACTTTTTTTATTAATTATTAATATATTGAATATTAGAAATAAGACAAGTTTCATTAATGCGAGATGAATAAAATACTAGAACACAAAAGTATGGTTTTTTGTTATGCTTAACTTTGAAAAATGATGAAATTAGACAATTTTAAGAAATTTATTGTTAATTAGTATTGACTTGACGTTTTTAAAATATTAATTGTTTGTGATTTAAGTTAATTGTTTTATACATTATGGTTTTTTATTATTATTACAAGTAACATGTTTGAACTCTTAAAACAGTTTGAGCTCTAAATTGTGGTTAAAAAACACACAAATAACCGCACCAAATCAATACGGTTAATAACCGCAACACAAGAAAAACAAAACCGCACCGCAAAAATAACCGCCTAACCGCACCGCAAAAATAACCGCACCAAACGGTTTTGACAATGGAATAACCGCATTTGCGGTTAGTGGTGAGGTTTTGGCTAATAACCGCACCGAAGCGCACCGCACTCACCCCTAGGTTTATCTCAAAAACCTAGTACATTCGACTTCGTTTCCCAGTAAATTCGTTGGTTTATCTCAAAACCCTAATACAAAGAAAGCCATGGCCACCATCGTAACCGTTGAAGATGCTTATCGTGGTGTCGATGCTGAGCTTCTTAAAAAGGCCTGCCATGGTTCTAGATCTTATCTCTCTAATCTTTCTTCGTCCTATAACTTATATTAATCTCCCTGCTCATTTATATATTTATTTGCTTTCATATGAACAGGATGGGGAACCGATGAAAAAGCTGTAATAGCGATTCTGGCACATCGAAATGCTACTCAAAGGAAACTGATAAGGGAGGCTTACCAAGATATGTATGACGAGGATCTTGTGAAGAGGCTTGAACATGAGCTATCTGGTGATTTTGAGGTATTCGTGATGATATTCTACTGTGTTTTTTTTTCTTCTTTTTTGTGGGTGTAATCTTATGAATATTATGTGTATGGGTTAATCGATGTATGTAGAGAGCAGTGTACCGATGGAATTTGGATCCTGCAGATCGGAATGCAGTGCTAGCAAATGTAGCTCTTCGGAAGGATCACCGAGATCATAGAGTGTTCATTGAACTGTCGTCCACTCTTTCTCCGGAGGAGCTTTTTGATGTCAAGCGAGCCTATCAATGCCGCTACAAGCGTTCTTTGGAAGAAGACATTGCTTCGCATACTTCTGACGATCTCCGAAAGGCGAGTCGTATTGGTTTGATTTCCGTTTTAATAAAATATATAAAAATAGCACATGTAACAGATGATATTTATCTTTGGTACAGTTACTTGTTGGTTTGGTGAGCATACATAGGTACCAAGGTGATGAAGTGAACTTGAAATTGGCAAAGTCTGAGTCAATCATTCTTCGTAATGCCATTGAAGAGAAAACATTTAACCATGAAGAAATCCTCCGAATTATCACTACAAGGAGCAAGCCGCAACTCATGGCTACTTTGAATCATTATAAAGATGAACATGGTTGCAGTATGACCAAGGTATATAGGAATTTCGTTGATAAGATACGATGTTTTTATGTATTTTTATTATAAAAAAATCGTCGATATGTTGAAAACTCAATGTTTTTCTTAACCATTACAGCACTTGAAGGATGATAGAGACAATGGGTACACAAAAACGCTACGTACCACGATTAGATGTATGAGTGACCCGATTAAGTACTTTGAAAAGGTTAGCTTTTTTCTTTATTCAGGTGTTTGACACCATGCACTAATCCATTAACACACATGGACTAGTGCTATCAGCCATTTTCAATCGTCTTATAAAACACATGCACAAGAATCCTATTCAAACTCTATATTTAAAGGCCGACTACCAAATTTATAATCAAATAAGCACCTAAATGCCAATATTTCACATAAAACACATTTCAAAACACATATTTATAATATGTAATTAATACTTTATAAATTTTAATAGGTGATAAAATAACAAGTAATAAATTACAAAAATATTTAAATTCATGCAATAAATTCAGTCTAAAATATGAAATGGTTGATAAAAAAAGTGTAGTTGGTAAAATAATTAGACAAAAATGTACCATATGACGACAAACTACCAATATTATCATTTGTGCAATACCATCTATGCTTATTGGACGTATGCCATCGTATAGGTGATCCGTAATGCAATTAACAGTAGTGGGACTAACGAGGATGCACTAACTCGGGTTATCGTTACACGAGCTGAGAAAGATCTAGAGATTATCATGGAGCAATATCACAAGAGGAACAGTGTGCCACTTGATCAAGTTATCACAAAGGAAACTTCAGGTCATTACAAGAGGTTCCTTCTTGCGCTACTTGGGAAGGATGATTAGTTTACAACATTCATGTGTGGAGTTTGCGTTTTAAAAGATGATGTTTATGAGGTTGTTCTTGGTTCAAAATTTGAAGTTATTTATGTTTCTGTGTGTTTGTATGCTTTTCTTGTCTGTGCACAAAACAAGTGATTGTGTGATGTATGATTAAGTAATTTAACTTTTGTTATGTATATTCATAAAGTGGCAACTACCCAAGTCGAAATTAAAAGTTGATGCACTATTGTCTACAAGTAAAGATATTATATAGCATGTATAATTTAAGAGAACTTTTGCCGATTTATTGAAAGGAGTGTTTAAGTATAAGCTACGTGACATGCCTAATTCAGCTCAATATGGAAATAACAACATCCCAAACACATCAGTTTCCGAGGTGGCATTCGATAGGGGTGGCTCTTCGGTTGGCTGTTCTTACGGGATGTATTTGGCTGTTTAGTGGCAGCCTTTGATCTTCCATCTAGCATTGTAATCATTTGTTTTGCAAAGGTATCTTGGAAAATATATTCAAAAAATAATGTTAACTGTGGTCATCATATGATTTTTAGCGTATCTTATTGATTTTGTTGATGTTAATATTTTATGGGTTGCTGATTTACGTGTTATTGATTTTGTTCATGTTTTTAGTTTACCGGTTGTTTATTTATGTGTTTTGTTTAGATGAGACATCATAATCAACGTTGTTCTTTGTTATAAAAGCAATATATGTACGTAAAGGCATTAGAATTAAACATCATTTATATGGTTTTAATGGAGTATGAGGTAAATAAATATCTGACATATCTACGTTTCCTCCCTCTACATTGCATTGGTTTAATTTTTCTTTTTTCATTTGTTTGTTTGAATCAGGGAAAGTTTCTTTATATATGGTATTGATGAATAGAGCGAAGCTTAATAGATTGCTAAAGTAAGGAAACCTAGTGAAAAAGAATTAAGAAGATTTAAATTCTTTCAGTATTTGTTGACATTGGGTGGGTTTGATTTTTTAAAACTTTATGGATGATTTGTTCATCAATTATCATATGATGAAAAATGGTTTTATGTTGCAATCGTTCGGCACCGAAGATAAATATCGACTTAGAAAATTTTAGGTTGACGAGGATCATGACATCCTATGATTTAGGTCTAAAACTATAGACAATCAATTAATCGTAATTTTATTTGTAAATTGATTTATTGAGCTTTAATGCAAATTTTGAAGAATAAATAGTCGCTATAATTAAAATAAGATATCATATGGTTTCATCCCATCAACTGTGGAAAATATCAGACAAATCATATAATACAAATTGCAACCCTAGGTAATATGTTTGAAAAATTGAAATTTCATATTAAGCAGTTGTGAACAAAGCAAACATTCTAGTCTTATAGTACATGTTCACCTGTTTCCAAAAATAAAAAGAGCATCCAAAATGAAGTTTATATGTAAAAGATACAACCGTTAAAAGAAACCAAACCATTATAACACTGATTTATTCTTAAACTACATAAATCGATTTGATTCGTTGATGTACTTGCACTCCTAAGATGAAAATACCGAAAACATTTTTTTAACTCATAATGTTTATTATTCAATTTCATAATCGAAATATTTTTGGTAAAAATATTTGTAAAAGTCGAAAAATGAAAAATTTCAAGTCAATTAGATGCAAATCTTTAAACGCCATTTCCTGGAGTTCTATAACTCGAAAAATTAATCTGTTTGGGTTTTTAAAATCCTTGAACTCGACTCTATCATTTTCCACTTTTGGAAAAAATATTAGGTGTCCGGATTTTGGCATGCAAATCTACAAACAATTGAAGGACTTTTTCAAGATAGTGATATTACAATTTATCACTATATAACAACAGCCAAATCTGGTCAAACAAAGTCAGCAAACATCAAATAGGTCAACTTAATTTGTATTAGAAATTTAGGAGAAATATGACATCCTCAAATGTTTCTAACGTACTACTGACAATTTATAATATGAAGTATCTTTCTGAATTGCCAATTATCAAATATAAACACTAATTAGGGTTAGTAACGTAACAACTCGATAATTGGGCTATATATTATTTAGAAAAAAAAAACTACATTGGTAGCACAATGTAGTGGAGTTCATAAAGCTAACACTGCGTGACAAATTCATAGCAAAGGCTACAAACACAAATTTTTTGTGAATTTGTCATCAAATGCGACAAAGTTTATACCCGGCTAAATACCAAATTTTTAACGAAACGAACTTTGAAATTCGATCTAACTTTCATTTAACGTATTATTATTTTGATAATAATGTTTGTTATAAATAATTTGAATTTTTATAATTCAAATTAAATATTTTATACATCCTTTATACCATATTTATTTTATAAAAGCAACATAATTTTTATAAAAATACCAAAAGTTTATAAAGTTTTGACTTTTTTTTTTCTTATTATAAAAAGTCACTAGTTATTAAGTTGTACATTCGTCTTACATATGCAACCACTT